CCCGTGACTAATTTACCTTCATTGATTATATCGGCCATAGACAGATAATTTACCAAATCCTCACTTTCAAAGTTTTCTGTCATTTTTAAACTTCCATGCACTTTTTTATCTAAAAGTAAAAGAGTTTGGCCTAATACTGATTCATCTTCACCCCTATTAACAGTTTGTGTGTTACGAGTTATTTGATATCGATATCATGTGTTCAATAACGCATATATTTAACTAAATCAGTAAATTTCATCACTAAATAATTTACTTACTGAATAGTATTTATGGAATAGATAGTGATAAAAATGGCAAGTAAAAAAGATTATAAATTTATTTAAGCACAGAAAAAGGCCATTAAACTAAAGGTGTGAACTGTGAATTATAGTACATATAAATAAACTGTAGTTTATTTTAAAACTGTAGTTTATTTTAAAACTGTAGTTTATTTTAAAACTGTAGTTTATTTAAAACTGTAGTTTATTTTAAAACTGTAGTTTTACAATAACTACAGTTTATTTATATTAACTAATAGTTTTCGGTCCGCACCTATTAAACCTCTCAAATATTGTAGAAAGCGAAGGCAAAAATTACCCTTAATTCAGGAACTAGTATTTTCGCAGTTCAAAAAAGAAAAAAAATAATAAATAATTTCTGGCCAGAATTAACTTTTTTTTTATTATAAAAAGAAATTTTTAGAAAACAGGATCGATAAAATTTGTACATGTAATTTTCACTTAATAAGAATAAGCAACTGTAATTTCATTAGTAAAACTTTGATGAGTAATTCTGATTATCGCTCTTAGCCAATCAAAATCGAGAATATTCCGTGACGTAGTTAGAGTATAAAAAAATGTGTTTGCGCCTCGGTTTTTGGAACTCATAAAAACCACATGTGTTTTTAAAAATTGAAAGACCATGTACATAAAGGATAGACGTGATACGTATAGAAGGTAAACAAGATAGTACATTCATTTACTCATGCTTAACACAGGTTTAAACTTATCAGGTATTTGAATATTTTTCCCAACAATATGATTAGTTTGTGCAAAGAAACTATAAGGAAATGGTATATCCTTTGGTGTCGAAACTGTATCTAATCTTGCCATTTGTTCAGGTGTTAACCTATTTAAATTAAATAAACAATAAGTAAAAACTCAATATATTATAAAATTGAATTTTAATAAAATTTACTTGAATTCAAGAGCTTTAAGATTTTCTACTAATTGAGCTTTTGTTCTTGCACCGATAAGAGGTGAAGTGACGCCGGGTTTTTGTGAGATCCAATTTAAAGCAACCTTTTTTTAAATTGTTAAGTAATTTAAATTATAAAAAATGCATTTAAGTAAGTAATCATATGCAAGATAAAATTTAAAGCTACCTGAACAGGACTTCTATTGATTTCAGAAGCAATAGCTTTAACTTCATCAAGAATTTCCCAGTTTCTTTCAACATTTGCCAACTTAGTAATTGAGTAACTACGCCCACCAATCTTTTCTTCATTAGTAGCTGACTCCCTAGTGTGCTTTCCAGTTAAGAACCTAACCATAAAATAATGAAAAGGAATAAATTAACTCATGTGTAATCATGCATGCATGGTATCAAAGAGATAATTACCCTTCTGCAATACATCCCCAAGGAACGATTCCAACCTTTATTAGTAAGAATGAACAGTTAGTTATTATAATATCAAGCTTTATTATCAGGCTTTCAATGCTCTTATTTGTTAAATGCGAAATAATGTCAACTTTGAAAAAAAATTTACGCACATCAAATTCAGCACATACAGACTGCAAATCATATTCCATGGATCGATCTAATAAATTATATCGAGTTTGCAACCCAATAAAAGGACTTATATAAAATTGATAGATTTTAGTTAATTCTTATCATTACAACAATTAATATATAAATTGTTTTGCGCATATATTATACTATATTACCTCCATCCACGTAATCCAGCTATGGTATTCGCTTGGCTAATCACCCATGCTGGTGTATCGCTAATCGCGATATAAAGCGCCTGTTGGAAATATTAATAACTATTTACTGTATACAGTATAAATTCTCAAATTGAGCATAGATAATTTACCCTGCCACTTCTAATAACATCATCTAAAGAACGTATTACTTCCTCAGTAGGAGTACGAAACTCCCAAGAGTGAACATACATGATATCAACATAACCGGTGCCCAGTCGTTTAAGGCTTGCGTCGAGATTTTCGACAAGACATTTACGGTGGTTTCCGCCTTTAAGTAGAACGACAAATATATATATATATATATATATATATATTCAGAAATTATATCCATATATACAGATTCACAAAATGAATAATAAAGTTTGTGAAATTACCAGCATTTGGGTTATATTTGGTATTAGGCATCATACTAGTACTATTTGCTTTATAAAATAAAAAGTAAATACGTAGCATAGATTACGAATGTTTACGGAAAATTAATGATCAAATTAACATACAAGTATATTTTGTGGCAATTACAACTTGAGACCGTTTATCAGCAATATATTCTCCAAGAAAACGTTCGCTCTTTTTTTACATGTAAAAAAAAGGACTAGTTAGTGTATTAGAAATACGTAATGTAATTAATAAAATATATTATTAACACACACTATTTACCTCTCCGAAATTATATAAGTTTGCAGTATCTAGAAAAGTCAAATATTATTTGAATTTAATATCAAGTAAAATAATGCTTTACATATATGTATATATATGTACAGTATATGTGTATATGTGTACCAAAAAAATTTCCGCCTTTCTCATAGTAATAATCGAAAACTTCTTTACTCTCTTCATAATTTGCACCAAATTTCTATTCATTGTATATATAAATATTAGTTTCATTTCGAGCAAACAGATTATCAGAAATAGAAAAGAAAAACTTACAAATTTTTCTCCAAAAGTCTTTTACCGAAATAATTTAAAAAAGTTTTTTAGAAAAAAGAAGAAAACACGATAATAATAACTTATCATAAATTAAAATTGATATATACCATGGTACCAAGACATAGAGGAGAAACTCTCAATCCACTACGCCCTAGAAGAACATATTCATCAAGGGATCTAAGGGTTTCATTAGTACATGTTGAATCTTGAGCCATTTCGTAATATATTTCTTGTACGTTCGTACGTACGTATATGAAGTAATTTAACTAGTTTATATAATTTTTAGAAAGTCGTGTACAGTGTTACTCTTTTTAACGTACTGTACGTACGTAGATCTATCAGAAAAATCAATTGCTTAAATGAGAAAAAACTGTTGTGAAATGAATGGATTTTTGAGGAACAGGTTTCTTGCATGAACGGGTATTCAATTTAGCAATAACTCCGATAACTTTATTTTTTGACAAATTATATTTCTGACAGCTTTATTTTGTCAATCAAAAGTTTCCGATCAACCTAATTTCCCGATAACCGATATATGATTCGACATCCAATTTCAGATAAAATAAGTGACGTATAATTTATATAATTTATATTTTTTATTACTTACATAATCGCTTACCGATGAATAAAGGTTAATTTTATTACCGGCTATGCCAATTCCGAAAATCCCAAATGAAATATAACAGATTATAGTTTCGGTAAAATGGTATTTCAGAAAAATGATTTTCGGAAATTAATCCCTAACCCGGTGTGACACAGATTTCTCAATGGATTATACTTTTCCCTCAATGTAGTGTATCATTGTATTTATGTTTATAGTTATATTCGGATAACTCCTGGTCCAACTTTGATAATTGATGAAACTTCACTATATTTCTTAAACAAAAGGTTAAAGAATATTCGTATGGTTATAGTGGATAAATATTCTGCACGGAAGTTAGTGATATGAAAGATTTCGTGAGATTAAACATTGTTGCTGTAGTTGGCTAGATGTAGTGTGACTTATTTATGAGCCGTGAATAAATTTTGTTTATGATTTCACTTGCATTTTCATTCGTAGTTACGGGTTAACTTTCCGAAAAAGAAATGAAGCTGTTAGAAACAATTTCAATTTATTATACACAAAGTCAGTTATTTTTTCAGATGAAACTGCTTATGACAGAAGAACACTATCATGATACTATGACTGTAATTTTTCAGAATTGCGTTGCTCAAAAATACAGATTTTTTGTTCGAGGAAGATAGAAGGTGCATTGTGTATTAATGGTCTTTTAGTGTATTGTATTCAAGATGGTTCTATGAATCCTATTGTTATAAAAATTTTATTTATCATGTTTTAGTAAGAATCTTTTATGTAAGTATGATAATGATATGTTTAGTATCAATTAAATATGGGTGATAATTTTCGAAATTAGCCCAACAATGTAATTTAACTTGTGACATATGTATCATAGCAATTAAGAATTACGTATACAGTATCAATATTAAAAATTAGACCGGATCAAAAATGTATTTTTTATATACCGATCATGCCGAAATAAAATGATTAAATCCGGATTCAAGTATTAACTCTAGTTCCGCTTAGATATTGACGCGTATCAATCGTGTTAAAAATAAACGTACATTACTTTGCAATCTGTGAAATCGGTAAAAATTTAAATATTACAAATTAAATATGCATTTTGATTACTTAATTAAAATTTGTCAAATTAATTTCGTAAAAAAATAAAAAATAAAAAGAATATCGTAAAAAAAATAAGATGCATTTTTACACAGCTCGCGTAAACACACCCACGTATACTTGTACATAGAGAATTGTTTCTTGACAAGAACAATTTTGATGTAGGGATTGAACCCGTCCAAAAAAATCTAACCCGGGGTACCTGTCGGTTAATTCCGGGTATAATTCACAAATAAGGTAGCTGCGCGACGTCATCGCGCAAAACCAGAAACGGGAAAGTATCTAGATATTAAGTTGCTTAAAATTTTAAGTTAACGTGAATCAATAATTGATCTGATATATATTTAGATCATGTGCACAATTAGGGATGTTAGTCAGTTCGACTAAAATTGGTCTTGCGCTCTGTCTTAGGACTGGGCCAGTCTGATTTTTTACAAACGGTCGGCCTTAATATATTATAAAATCATTTTAGCAAACACATATGGGCTAATTTTGTGTGGTTTGTTGGGGTTAAAAATTTATATTGATTGAATCGACTTGAATAAAAGCACGGAAAGTAAGCCAATAAACCTAATAAGAGCATACATTATTTCTGAATACTCTGATTAGCAAATTATTTTGCACTTACCTGTTAAATTCATAGTCGTCTAAATAAGTGAATTAATGTGGAATGGCAGATAATTTATAACCTTCCCGAGATAGAGTAACTTAAAGAG